GAGACCAGGAGGGGAGTGCGTCTTCTGTAGGAAGTATGATGAGTTCACTATGGGATAGCCACATGTAGATGGTTAGTGGATAGTTGGAAATTCTGGTTTGGAACCCTGTGGGGCACCCTTTGGTGGAAGATTTAGTTTGGGTATTCAGAACCATATAAATGTGAGCTCAACTGAGGTAATTTTGAGGCAGAAGACCATAGAAGCTTAGAAGAGGACAACTGGGCACGGTGGCTCACGCCTGTAATCCCAGCACTTTGGGAGGCCGAGGCGGACGGATCACCTGAGGTTGGGAGTTCGAGACCAGCCTGACCAACACGGAGAAACCCCCTCCTCTACTAAAAATACAAAAATTAGTCGGGCGTGGTGGTGCATGCCTGTAATTCCAGCTACTTGGGAGGCTGAGGCAGGAGAATCATTTGAACCCAGGAGGTGGAGGCTGCAGTGAGCTGAGATCATGCCATCACACTCCAGCTTAGGCGAGAAGAGCGAAACTCTGTCAAAACAAACAAACAAAAAAAGAGCGAGGGGATACTGTAGAGGTTGAAGATGGAGCAGAGGCTATTGTCTTTGGCAATTATGATACCTCTGGCAACCTCTGAGAGAAGAGTGTTAATTGAATTATAAGGTTGGAAGCCAGAGAGCAGTAACTTGAAGACTTGGGGAATAGAGTCAATGTTGAGAAGCATCAAGGAGGACAGAATAAGAAAAGTAGCTTGAGAAAGAAGCTAATTACAAGGGAGATTTTTTTATTTTTTGAGACGGAGTCTCGCTCTGTCCCCTAGGCTGGAGTGCAGTGGCGCGATCTTGGCTCACTGCAAGCTCCGCCTCCTGGGTTCACACCGTTCTCCTGCCTCAGCCTCCCGAGTAGCTGGGACTACAGGTGCCCGCCACCACGCCTGGCTAATTTTTGGTATTTTTTGTAGAGACAGGGTTTGACCGTGTTAGCCAGGATGATCTCAATCTCCTGACTTCGTGATCTGCCTGTCTCGGCCTCCCAAAGTGCTGGGATTACAAGCGTGAGCCACCGCACCTGGCCGCAAGGGAGATTTTTTTAGATGAGGAGGCTTGAGATTGCTTGTAGGCTGAGAGAAAGCATTCAATAGAGAGGAAGAAATGGAGATTTTTCAGAAATTAATTAAAAGTTTTCAAAGCTGTTTTATTACTTTATCCTCAGACAAACCATGAAAGGTAGTATAGCTATTATTATTGCCATGTTACAGATGAGAAAAGCTGAGACATTTCCCACGGTCGCAAAGTAAGTAGTTTCCTTGTGACTCCTTCCAGATCTGTAGAGAAAGGAGAAATAATTCATGGAGTAGAAGCTGGGAAGGGATGATATGGCAAGGAATAGGGTAAAGACATAACTTTTGGTAGAATATTGTTTTCACTGAAAAAAGGGGAAAGGTGGAGGTAAAGAATACCGAAAACTGGGAGGTGCATTAGAATGACTAAGCAGTAGACGACTAAAGCCCAGGATTGTGGTTTAGAGTGAAGAGGATAACTTTATCTTTCCTGATAGTTAGTTCCTAGTCTCTGATAATAAGAGACTTAGAAAGCTGGAAGAGTTTTCTCAGTTTATTTCCAGTCTATCAAACCTTTGGGCTCTGAGCATAGCTTTTAGAACTTGAGCTTTTAAGGGAGCTAAAAAGTTTTAGATACCTGGCTATCTATGTGTGCCTCTTTTACAGGGATTTTAATGTTTTGATTTTTAAGGGAAAAATGTTAGCTGCTAGCCTCATTGTTGGCATCATTTTTTCCACAGGGCATTTTAGATTATCTGGATAACATATCCCCTCAGCAAATACGAAAACTCTTCTATGTTCTCAGCACACTGGCATTTAGTAAACAGAATGAAGCCAGCAGCCACATCCAGGTAAGAGGCAATGTTGGGAAAGATTTTTTTTTTTTGAAACGGAGTCTAGCTCTGGCTCCTAGACTGGAGTGCAGTTGGCATGATCTCGGCTCAGTGCAACCTCTGCCTCCTGGGTTCAAGCGATTATCCTGCCTCAGCCTCCCAGGTAGCTGGGACTACAGGCACATGCCACCATACTTGGCTAATGTTTGTATTTTTCCTATTTTGTATTAATTTTAAACCCCTTTACTTGAAATTTGCTAGGAAAAAAAACCAAACAAGCAAATGATAGATTTGCTAGTGTATAGTAGTGGAAATAGCCATAGTACCAGCATTTTTTAATTCTTACCACAAACATTAAGTGCCTATCCTGTGCCAGGCACTGATATATTAGATCCTCTGCCCTCGAAAAGCTTTGTTTATTAGGGAAGAGATGGGTCTGTGATAAGATAACCATGAAACTGTTCAGGTTCTGAGTGCAGTGGGGACACAGAATTGCCTTGTTTCCTAAGAAACATCTCCATCTAATGTGAACTTCACGTGGGCTTGCTTTCGTTTGTGGACACCATTCACTGAAAAAGCCAGGCTGTAATCCCAGCACTTTGAGAGGCCAAGGCAGGCGAATCACATATGCCCAGGAGTCTGAGACCAGCCTGGGCACCATGGTGAAACCCTATTTCTACAAAAACATACAAAAATTAGCCAGGTGTGGTGGCACACACCTGTAATCCTAGCTACTCAGGAGGCTGAGGTGGGAGGATCCATTGAGCCCTGGGAGTTGAGGCTACAGTGAGCCATGATTGTGCCACTGCGCTCCAGCCTGGGCAAGAGAATGAGACTCTATCTCTAAATAAATAAATAAAACAAAAGGAAGAGATTAGATTGGAATCATAATTTGTAACTCATTTGTATCTTTAGTGCTACCTTATGGCAATAATTCATACTGGACTGTGGCTTTGAACAACCAGCATATTTTTTATCTTTTTCCCCCCTTTCTTGGATCCCCAGTCAGCACATTTTTTTAATTAAAAAAAATTTTTTTTGGACTAGGTAATATACATGTGTCATACAAAATTCAAAACATATAGAAGGGTATCCATTGAAAAATAACTCTCACTTCTTCTCTCCTCTAGGCACCTGGTTTGTCTTCCACTTTATAACCTTCTGAGACATTCTCAGAATTTACAAATTTGTATTTACCTGTAGTTTCCTTTCCCTTCTTGTTCTACATCTTACCTTTTGCATTTAGCAGTTTATTTTGGAGATTCCTTCAAATCAGCAATATAAAGCTACTTCATCACTGTATTTTATTTTTGAATTTTGATAAAATACACATAACATAAAATAGAATATTTAAGCTGTTTTTAAGGGTACAATTTAGTAGCATTAAGTATATTCACAGTGTTATACAACCATTACCACTATCCATTTCTAGAACTTTCTGATCGTCCCAAGCAAACTTTGTACCCATTAGGCAATAATTCACCATCTTCCTCTCCCCACCCTTAATAATCACTAATCACATTCTGTCTGTGGATTCGTTCATTCTAGATGCCTCATATAAATGGAATCATACGATATGTATCCTTTTGTGTCTTATTTCACTTAGCATAATATTTTCAAGGTTCATGTATGTTGTAGCATGCATCAGAACTTTATTCCCATTACAGCTGTAATAATTCCATTCTTTGTTTTTGTTATTGTTTTGTTTTGTTTTGTAGAGACGGAGTCTCACTCTGTCACCCAGGCTTGAGTGCAATGGCACAATCTCGGCTTACCATAACCTCTGCCTCCTGGGTTCAAGCAATTCTCTTGCCTTAGCCTCCCAAGTAGCTGGGGTTATAGGCGTGCACCACCACGCCTGGCTAAGTTTTATATTTTTAGTAGAGATGGGATTTTGCCATATTGGCCAGGCTGCTCTCGAACTCCTCACCTCAGGAGATCCACCTGCCTCGGCCTCCCAAAGTGCTAGGACTGCAGGCGTGAGCCACTGCGCCCAGCCCCCATTCTTTGTTTATAACACATTTTGTTTATCCATTCATCCATTGATGGACTATTGGGTTGTTTCCACCTTTTGGCCATTTGAGTAATGTTGCTGTGACCATTGGTTTACAAATATTTGTTTGAGTCCCTATCTTCAGTTCTTTAGGGTATATTTCTAAGAGTGGAATTGCTTGATCATATGCTGACCATATGTTTACCATTTTGAGGAACCACCAAACTGCTTTTCATAGCAGCTGCACAATTTTACATTCCCACCAACAACGTATGTAGGTTCCAATTTCTCCATATCCTGGCCAACATTTATTTTCCTTTCTTAAAAATTTCTTTTGATTTTTATTAATTAATTTTAAAAATTATTATTTTTTTTAGATAGGGTCTTGCTCTGTCACCCAAGCTGCAGTGCAGTGGCGTGATCATACTTCACTGCAACCTGAAAATCCTGTGCTTAAGCAGTCTTTCCAACTCAACCTCCTGAGTACCTGGGACTACAGGTACCTGCCACCTCGCCAGGCCCTATTTTTTAATTATAATCATCCTGATGAGTACGAAGTGGTATCTCATTGTGGTTTGATTTGCATTTCCTAATGACTAATGATGTTAAGCATCTTTTCACATACTTCTTGGCCATTTCTATATTTTTGTAGAAATGTCTATTCAAGTCCTTTACTCATTTTTGTTTGTTTTGTTTTAGAGATGGGGTCTCACTCTGTCACACACTTTGGAGTGCAGTGGTGTGATCTTGGCTCACTGCAACCTCCACCTCCTAGGCTCAAGCGATCCTCCCATGTCAGCCTCCTGAGTAGCTGGGACCACAGGTGCACACACTACCATGCCCAGCTGATTTTTTGTAATTTTGGTAGACATGAGGTTTCGTCATGTTACCCAGACTGGTCTAGAACTCTTGAGCTCAGGAGATCCACCCACCTCTGCCTCCCAAAGTGCTGGCATCACAGGCACGAGCCACTGTGCTCAGCCCTTTGCCCATTTTTATATTAGGTTTTTGTCGCCATTGAGGTATAGGAGTTATTTATATATTCTGGATATTGATCCCTTATCAGATATATGATTTGCAAATATTTTCTCCCATTCTATGGGTTTTTACTCCCTTGATAGTGTCCTTTGATGCCCAAAAGTATTTAGTTTCAATAAAGTCAAATTTATCTTTTTTTTTTTTTTTTTTTTTTTTTTTTTTTTTTGAAATGGAGTCTCACTGTATCGCTAGGCTGGAGTGCAGTGGCGCGATCTCAGCTCACTCCAACCTCCGCCTCCCAGGTTCAAGCAATTCTCCTGCCTCCGCCTCCCCTGTAGCTGGGACTACGGGCACATGCCACAACACTCAGTTAATTTTTGTATTTTTAGTAGAGACGGGGTTTCACCATGTTGGCCAGGATGATCTCAGTCTCTTGACCTCATGATCTGCCTGTCTCAGCCTCTCAAAGTGCTGTGATTACAGGCGTGAGCTACTGTGCCCGACCTCCGTTAAGTTTTAAGATGGCACTCGCCATCTTTGTGAAAAGTTGAACGTTACTAACGAAGTCTAATCATATTTTTAGAAGGGGTAAACAGTGATACCATTTACTGAATTGGAATTACTATTAAAATTCAAAAAACTGAAAATATTCATTTAACCACAAGCCAATCTTAGTTTTAAATGAGGACCACCCAACAAAATATTCTGTCAGTCATTCATGATCTGAATTCTGGTATATGAGATCTATTAAAGTATGGTACACATAAAAAAGTCATGAGACATTTGTTTTGTAATAAATAAGGCAGTGGCCAATTATTACTCATTAGTAGCTTTTTTGAGATAAGTTATCAAGTCTGCCCCTTCTGCCTTCTTAATTCCGGCAAAGATCATTTTTCTTTTTGGGATTCTCCAAATACTCCATCAGTTTGTCCTGTCCCCAGGTGATGCCTTTGTTCTTCTTGGCGTCTGTGTAAGAGAATCCAATGGCCTGACCTGTCTTCCGCGCAAAGAGACCATGGAGATTAGGCCCAGTCTTGTGCTTGCCTCCCTTTTCTACCGTGTGGCACTGGGCACACTTCTTAACAAAAATCTTCTTACCTTTCTCAACATCACCCATATTTAATTCTCTTTATCGTCACTGGCACCACGAAGGTTGCCACTCCAAAGCTGTACGACCCACACTCTATCAATTTTTTTTCCTGTGTTGCTTGTCCTTTTGGTTGTCATGCTTAAGATACCATTGCAGAATCCAAGGTCATGAAGGTTTTCTTTTATTTTCTTCTAAGAGAAAGTTTTAGCTCTTAAATTCAGGTCTTTGATCCACTTTGTGTTAATTTTTGTATATAGCATATTTTAATATTTTAAGGATTTAACTTCATTCTTTTGCAGATGGATATCCAGTTTTTCCAGTGCCATTTGTTGAAAAGATGGTCCATTCACCATTGAAATGATTTTGGAACCCTTGTCAAAAATCAATTTGTCACATATATGAAGGCTTATCTTTGAACTCTGTGTTCTGTTTCATTGGTCTATATGTCTGTCCTGCCATCACCACACTGTTTTGACTACTGTAGCTTTGTATTAATATTGAAATCAGGAAGTGTGAGCCCTCCAACTTTTTTTTTTTCAAGGTTTTGGCAGTTTGGGGTCCCGTGAAATTCCATGTGAATTTTGGTGTGGATCTTTCTATTTCTGCAAAACATGTTGTGGGACTTTGATAAGGATTGCACTGAATCACTTTGAATGGTATTGTCATCTTAACAATATTGAGTGTCTTCCAGTCCACAAAGACAATAGCTCTTTCTGTTTACTTATGTCTTTAGTTTTTCAGCAATGTTTATTTATTTTATTTTATTTTGAGACAGTGTCTGGCTCTGTCACCCAGGCTAGAGTATAGTGGCGTGATCCTGACTCACTGTATTTTTGACTTCCCAGGCTCAGGTGATCCTCCCACCCCAGCGTTCCCAGTAGCCAGGACCTCAGGCATGCACTACCACAGCTGGCTAGTTTTTGTATTTTCCGTAGAAACGAGGTTTTGCCATGTTACCAGGCTGGTCTTGAACTCCTGGGTTCAAGCAATTCAGCCGCCTCAGCCTCCCAAAGTGTTAGGATGACAGGTATGAGCCACTTCACCCAGCCTTGCCTCCATGTTTAAATCTTTACCTGAGTATTTTATTCTAGTTCATTATTTTAGCTGAGCAGTCATCAACGTTATAATTTTCATATCCTTATAGAAATAATAATAAAAGGTATTATTGGCTGGGCGCGGTGGCTCACACCTGTAATCCCAGCACTTTGGGAGGCCGAGGCGGGTAGATCACGAGGTCAGGAGATCGAGACCATCCTGGCTAACACAGTGAAACCCTGTCTCTACTAAAATTACAAAAAATTAGCCAGGCGTGGTGGCAGGCACCTGTAGTCCTAGCTACTCGGGAGGCTGAGACAGGAGAATGGCGTGAACCCAGGAGGCGGAACTTGCAGTGAGCCAAGATTGTGCCACTGCGCTCCAGCCTGGGTGACACAGTAAGACTCCATCTCAGAAAAAAAAAATAAAAAAATAAAAAATAAAATAAAATAAAATAAAATATATTATTATTGAGTGTCTGTCATGTGCCAGGCACTGTTCTATAAGGTTTTTTGTTTTTTTTGTTTTTTGTTTTTTGTTTCTAATTTAAGTTCTAGGGTACATGTGCGCAACGTGCAGGTTTGTTACATACGTATACATGTGCCATGTTGGTGTGCTGCACCCATTAACTCATCATTTACATTAGGTATATCTCCTAACGCTATCCCTCCCTGCTCCCCCAACCCCATGACAGGCCCCAGTGTGTGATGTTCCCCTTCCTGTGTCCAAGTGTTCTCATGTTCTAGAAGTTTTTTATGACTTATCTCTAATCCTTAAAACAACCTTCCCCATTTCAGGCCGGGCATGGTGGCTCACACCTGTAATCCCAGCACTTTGGAAGGCCAAGGCGGGTGGATCACCTGAGGTCAGGAGTTCAACACGAGCCTAGCCAACATGGTGAAACCCCATCTCTACTGAAAATACAAAATTAGTCGGTTGTGGTGGCGGGCACCTGTAATCCCAGTTACCCAGGAGGCTGAGGCAGGAGAATCGTCTGAACTTGGGAGGCAGAGGTTGCAGTGAGCCGAGATTGTGCACTCTAGCCTGGGCAACAAGAACAAAACTCCCTCTCAAAAAAAAAAATAAATAAAAAACAGTTAGTAAACGATAAAAGCCATACCTTCTTTTGCTGTGCCATTCCAGCATTTTCATCTTTCTTCATCATCTCATTGCAGGATGACATGCACTTGGTGATAAGAAAGCAGCTCTCTAGCACCGTATTCAAGTACAAACTCATTGGGATTATTGGTGCTGTCACCATGGTTGGCATCATGGCAGCAGACAGGTACACATGGAAATTCTGACTTCTGTGGTCTGAGATCAGTTAATCTTGCTAACTAACGAAGTGTTACATCTCATAGACATCATTTTAACAGTAGACGTTGCAACTATGAGAGAAATGAGCAAATGTGTTTTGCTACTTTTCCATGTTCTAATCGTGACTGTATATAATACCATGTATATTTTTTGCTGGATTGTGATCCTAGCTATTACAATCTGTTGTTAAAAATTAAGGATTGCCTAGAGGTAAAATTCTAGAAATCTTTGCACAAAAAGGGAGCCCTGATTCTTTTTTTTTTTTTTTTTTTTTTGAGACGGAGTCTCGCGCTGTATCACCCAGGCTGGAGTGCAGTGGCGCGATCTCGGCTCACTGCAAGCTCCGCCTCCCAGATTCACGCCATTCTCCTGCCTCAGCCTCCGAGTAGCTGGGACTACAGGCGCCCGCCACCACGCCCGGCTAGTTTTTTGTATTTTTAGTAGAGACGGGGTTTCACCATGTTAGCCAGGATGGTCTCGATCTCCTGACCTCGTGATCCACCCGCCTCGGCCTCCCAAAGTGCTGGGATTACAGGCTTGAGCCACCGCGCCCGGCCGCCCTGATTCTTTTAGAATGCGTTTTTCTTTATCTGCTCCTGATATAGGCACTAGACAATGCAGGTGTCTACATTGCTGTGTCATTCCTGTCGGGAACTTTATACATTTGGTACAAATAAGATCTTGTGGATTTCCCCTCACCTTATTCCTTGAGTCCCCATTTGTAGAGTCTAAAGACATATTGGTTTGGGGGCTTGATAAGATGTTGCCATTACAAACCAACATTGGATTTCAGTTCATGCTCCTTGGAAATTATTTTCTGAGACATCAGGAGACATCTTTAGAATCCACATTGTGGAATCCTAATTAGGGAAAAGGAGTCAGAGTGGTGGGAGCAAAGAAAGCAAAGACAAAGTATATAAGTCTGCCTTTTTTCATGGTGCAGGACATGCAGCCCTCTGCACCCAACTTATCACCAGACACCTGCAAGTTGGCTCACTGCAATTTTGGCATTATCAGTAATGCACAAAGCCCTCTTCAGCATACAGCATACATCATAAGTACTACTCTGTAAATCCCCAGCAAGCCTTTGTTTCCTTGCAGTCAGCTCCTCTATTGCTGGCTGTCCATTGCTTTCTTGCAATGTATTTTTATACTTTCTCTAAGAAATCTTGTCTTTCTTTACCTACAACTGTCTTAGTAAATTCTCCCCCTAACCCTACCCCAGCCGCCACCGGCTCAGATAGTCATTGCTCCCCTGTGACACACATTAATAATGGGAAGAGGTTGCAAAGTGTATTGGTTAAGAGTTCCTTCACTGAAGCCATACTGCTTGCCCAGGGTCAAATTAGCTGAATTACCTTGGGTAAGTTACTTTATTTCTCTGCCTTTATAGACTCACATCTGCAATAAGGATAATAATAGGATTTACCTCATAAAGTCGTTGAAATGTCTAGCACATAACATACACTAATTAAGTGCTTCCTCTAATTATTGCTAATTTGCCCTTAAAAAATATGTACAGAAAAGAGAAAAGAAAAAAATATATAAAATAACCATCCTTTGCTCTAATCTGTATTTTGTATGGATAAAATAAATACTCTTCTCTGCCTTTATGCACTTTTATCTTTTACGCCTACGCTCCTAGGAATCAGAATGTTTTTTTTTTTTTTTTTTTTTTTTTTTTTGAGACGGAGTCGCTCTGCTGCCCGGAGCTGGAGTGTAGTGGTCGGTGTTTTTTTGTATTCTTCTGTTAATTGTTCTGTTTATACTGTATTATTGTGCTTGTTGTTGTGGTTTTTTCTCTGCTGCGCGCGAGCGCCAGTCGCCGCGGGCCCGCGAGGCGCGCGCAGGAGCGAGACTGCAGGCGGCGCGCGGGCCCGCCGCACCGCGCCGCGGCTATGTTTGCTTAAGATGCCGCTGCGCCGGGGCGCGCGGGGGCCCGCGGCCCCGGCGGGGGCGCCGCGCCGGCGCGGGCGCCGCCCGGGGACCGGTGACCGGTGAGGGCGGCCGCCGGCCCGGCCCCCGGCCGCGCGCGCCCCCCCTGTTCGAGCTGACCGGCGGATCGGGCCGACGCGGCCTCCAAAGTGCGTGGATACAGGCTTTACCACTGCGCGCGGGGGCCGGCCTGGGAAGTCAGAATCTTAAACTATTGGCCAGTGGCTAAAAATATTACAAAGAGAGAAATTAAAATGCTTCGCTTTAGAAGAATCAGTAGTTTGACCAAGAGCAGAGCAACCGAGCAATGAGCAGTGACACAGGGAGTGCTTTTCTTTCGTTCTTCTTCTTTTTTTTTTTGGTTGAGAGAGCGCGGGCGGCTCGGGGTGCACCCAAGCTGGATGCAGGTGGCAAATCGCAGCTCAGCGCAAGCCCCGCCTCCCAGGGTTCGCTCAGCTCTACTGCAACCTCGCGCCTCCCCGGGGTTCAAGCATTCTCCCGGGCCTCAGCCTCCGAGAGTAGCTGGGAGTACAGCGACGCACCACCTGGATACGCCGCTAATTTTTTATATTTTTGGTAGAGATGAGGTTTCACCATGTTGGCCCTGCTGGTCCTGAATTCCTGACCTCAAGTGATCCACCTGCCTCGGCCTCCCAAAGTGCTGGGATTATAGGCGTGAGTCACCACGGCTAAATTTGTATTTTTAGTAGAGACGGGGTTTCACCATGTCAGGGTTTCGCTATGTTGGCCATGCTGGTCTCAAACTCCTGATCTCAGATGATCCGCCCCCATCAGCCTCCCAAAGCACTGGGATTACAGACGTGAGCCACTACTCCCGGGCTGGTTGCATTTATTTCTATATCCATTTAATCTCTCTAATTATAAAGTCTTAGCAAGAAAGATATGCCATGTTTATGGAATAACAGTTTGGTTGAAGCATGGGGACAAATAAGTATATAATTGGAAAGTGGGACATAAAGCTAGTTCAGGCAGGGCACGGTGGCTTGCGACTGTAATCCCAGCACTTTGGGAGGCCAAGGCAGGAGGATCACTTGAGGTCAGGAGTTTGAGACCAGCCTGACCAACATGGTGAAATCCTGTCTCTAATAAAAGTACAAAAAAATTAGCTGGACATGGTGGCAGGTGCCTGTAGTCCCAGCTACTCAGGAGACTGGGGCAAGAGAATTGCTCGAATCCGGGAAGTGGAGGTTACAGTGAGCTGGGATCACGCTACTATACTCCAGCCTAGATGACAGAGCAAGACTCCGTCTCAAAAGAAAAAAAGAAAAAGCTAGTTGAGAGAGAAAACCGAGAGCCTTGCATGTAAAGCAATACATTTTTATTTCATTCTTTAGGCAGAGGTATTCCTTAAGGGTTTCTTAGCGTGGAAATGGCAAAATCAAAGCTTTGCTTTAGAAAAATTAATCTGGCTGCAGTGTCTGACAGATTGCAAAAGGGATGATATCAGAAAGAGACACACAGGTCAGAACATTCAGGAAAACTTCAAGTGAGAAGTAGAGCTTTGCCAGTAAAATCAGAAAGTGAAAAAAACAGTCTTGAATGGGGGCGAATGGAGTTTGGGAAGGATTGGCAGCCCAAGGCTTAAACCATTCTTCCTCTTTGCTCCAGGTGACCTCCTTGTTGCAGTTGGTTCATTCCTGCAGTGAGCAGTCTCCTCAGGCCTCTGCACTTTACTATGATGAATTTGCCAACCTGATCCAACAAGAAAAGCTGGATCCAAAAGCCCTGGTAAAGCTAATTGTCTTTTCTTAAAGCAATAAAGCATGAGAGCTGCTTTACTACACTCTTCAGGTCTTTCTGTTGCAGTGTGAAAATAGATCATCCTGTGACCTCTCCTAAATTCTAACTGCGAAAGGCTTTTCTGCCCTACCCTGTCTCAGGGCTCTTCTCTGAGGCTTCCTTCACTTAATAACAATAACAATAGTAAAGAAGAGATTGACTTTGTTAATGATGATGGCTACTATCTGTCTGAGAGCCCTATTCTATGCTAGGCCTTGTGCTAAGTGCTTTTTATGCACTCTCTCTTTTCTACTTCACAAAAATGAGATATTTATTATTACTTTCTTTTTAGAAATGAGAGAACTGAGACTTAGAAAGGTTAAGAGTAATTTATCTAGGGCTCTACAGCAAGTACACCCTGCACTGCCCTTTTTGTTTGTTTGCTTCCTGAAGGAACGTGTTGGGCATACCATCTGCAATGATTTCCAGGATGCCTTCGTAGTGGACTCCTGTGTTGTTCCGGAAGGGTAGGTATTGTTTACCTGCTGGCTTGGTTGTACTGGTGAAGTTACATCAATTCTGTCAGTAGCTGATACAAACTTCAGAATACCCTTGACCTCAGCCACAGCTGCCCAGTCGCACAGCTTCTTTCCTGCCAACCCCAGCAACCCTGCACCCTTAGCTCCAAAATTCCTAAAAGTTTCACTGTTTGTTCTTCTGTTTCTAATTTCTCCCCATGATGTTGTATTTGAAATTGGTTTGCTCTAGTGGTTTTCCCTGTAGCCTTGCGTATTCCTGAGCTGCAGCATCAGATTCTGGTTTTTCTCCGCAGTGACTTTCCATTTCCTGTGAAAGCACTGTACGGACTGGAAGAATACAACACTCAGGATGGGATCGCCATCAACCTCCTGCCGCTGCTGTTTTCTCAGGACTTTGCAAAAGATGGGGGTCCGGTGACTTCACAGGAATCAGGCCAAAAGTCAGTATAGTTTTTCTTTTCTAAACCTGTTAGTGTTTTGAATGTTCATGGGGAATTCCACAGTTCTTGGTGGGGAACTTGAGTCAAAAAAGTTTCTCTCAGGACAAATGG